TTCACTTTCTTTGAAATTTCTCTTCTCCATTCGTTGAGAAACATCGATCCTAAAACAGGTGAATCTGGGCTTTTGGCGCCTTCCTTTGCTCCCTCATCGGCTCGTTCATTGCCAATTATGCCAATGTGTGAGGGTACCCAAAACAATATTATTTTTTGACTATTTTTATTTAGTTTCAAGTTCATTAGCTGATTTTTTTTTTTGTGTGCAATGTGTTACATGTCCATGCATTTTGCAGTCCCTTGATTATAGATAAGGAATCGGTCACAATTACTGATTTTTCAATATTGGTGTCGATTACGTATTCAAATGCCTCGAGAATCGCCCACGTTTCACTTGTAAAAATTGAATTATTGTTATTTAATTTCCATTCTTTTATATTGTTTTGGGTTACTATACAGCATCCTACACCTATCTCTGATTTTGAACCGTCCGTAAAAATTATGTCATTATTATGGAATAATTTATGGACAATTTCATGATAACTATATCTAATTTCTTCTGGGGTAGTGTTGTTTAAAAGATTGTTCAGTCCTAGTTCATTTTTGATTGGTGGAATTGTCCACGGAGGGGTATCTCCTATTTTCTGAGGTATAATATTTATATGTGTTGTAATTTCATACTCAGTGGTGTATTTCTCAATTCGACTTTGAAGTATTTCTGAACCATTAGGAACATTTAAATCACCTTTATACAGAATATCAAAATTATTGTGTTCTGACATACTCTGAATTTTTGTTGCATAACGAAGAACGAGAAGTTTTCTTCTATGGTCCAAGGGCAATTCTCCTGTTTCACTCAGTAAGGCAGTTGCTGGGCTTGTTCTGAATGCTCCAATTGAAAGTCTCAGTGCAGTGTTCTGAATTGAGTCTAGCTTATTTAGGAGGCTTTTGCAAGCTGAAGAATATATGATGCTTCCATAATCTAGTTTTGACCTTATAAGGGATCTGTATGTAGTTAGCATAGTGTTCCTGTCTGCTCTCCAGTTTTGATGGGAAAGGATTTTTAGGAGGTTCAGTCTTTTATTACATTCCTGTTTTAATTTTTCTATTTGATATTTCCATTTTAGTTTACGATCTAGTATAAGACCTAAAATTTTGATTTCTTTGTAAAATGCGATTTCGGAACTGTTTATTGAAATATTTCTTACGTTATCATATTTCTTTTTCCTTGAGAAAACGATAGCCTGTGATTTTCTAGCAGAAAATCTGAAACCGGTTTCCCTCCCCCATTCTTCTAGTTGGGATATAGCAGACTGCATTATCTGTCGTGTAAGATGAAGATCTTTCCCTTTGCAACAAAGCAATAAATCGTCAGCATAGAGGAAACTTTTTACTGGAAGACTAATTCGGTCGGCTATATCATTTATAGCTATGAGAAACAGAGATACGCTGATTACAGATCCTTGAGGTACCCCATTTTCTTGTTCAACTTCGTCGGAGGAGACTTCGTTTATCTTTACTTTCATCGCCCTATAGCTGAGGAAATTTCTAATGAAATTTAGCATATTTCCTCTTACTCCATTATGGTAAAGTTTGTCAATTATACGTGGTCGATAAACCATATCGTATGCTTTTTCTAGGTCTAGACTGATTTCAATCAGGTTCATGTTTTCTGCGAACGCTGAAAGTATTTCATTTGTAATATTAACCAGATGATCTGTTGTCGAATAATTACTCCGAAAACCTGCTTGCTTTTTATGAAAGTATTTCTTGTGTTCAAGATACCATATGAGCCTTTTATTGATGATTGATTCCATCAGTTTACACATTGTACACGTCAAGCTATGTTTTATGAAATAAAGAAAAGTTAAACAAAATGTTTTATTATTTTATACATGTGTATTTTAATATAATACGTCGTAATATATATATATGATAAATGATATATAAATACATTAGTATTTATTTATGTATTTAACCTCTACCCCTAAGGGTCATTGGCTTAATGTCTCGATTTTATATTATTTCATAAAAATAAATTTCTTCTAAGTATTTTAACAGTTTTTCTATTGCATTTTCCTCATCTTGCAGGATTTCTTTCATTTTCGTTCCAATTTGTAGACTTTCTCTAATATCAGTGTACCTCCTTCATTTCAACAATATATCCTTCACTGCTCTGGGTACTTGGCAATGTGTGCAAGTTGGGGCTTCTAATCCTCGTAGGAAGTATCCTTGTGAAATTACATTAGTATTAAATACATAATATAACAACAATATTTCTACGATAGATTAAATGTCATGTCAAACAAAAAATAGATTTATCACTTTTTAGTTCTTGTAGTTCTATGATGAAAATTAAAAACGTATTCTACCTAAAGTCATCAATGCTACACATAGATAATCAAGACTGCAGTAAATAATTTCACTTCTAATGCTGCCATAAAAAGCATAGAATTCTATTAAATCGTAGATAAATTCATTAAAAATTAAAAAAAAAAATTTTCTAACATCTCCTACCATGAGTATAATTTGTCTCTATCATTATTCATCGTAAATAACATATGCTTAGCCAATTGTAGGAACCTAATCGTCTACTTAGTATTGTTTGAAAAATGTATAATAAAGTGAAATTACGTAATTCATCTTATTATTATATTATATTCGTTTGAAAAATGTGCTCTTTATATCTGAATTAAGACCAAGGATTTTCTTTGTTGTTAAGACAATGAAAACACTTCTATTAATATTAATCAAGAATATATGAACATTGATGTTTTACTCATTAATGTACTTAATGAACAAATATAATTAATTGAATTCCTTATAAGATTGTGCTATCCTTTAATGGAGCTGGCAGCAGCTCTATCTAATTGATACCAAACTATTCTAGGCTTTTCTAAATTAGCTAACTCTACCATTCTATCAGGCTGAAATCCATAGTAGCGACGGTTTTCATCTTAACTGGTTCGCGAGAATTCTGGATTTCGTAAAGCAAAAAAAAAAAAATGCTATGCCTACGACGTAACTGAGAACCTCGCTTAGTGAAAGGGGAGCAGGGAGGGTTACCACACAACTCAGGTATGTGATATCTTTTTAATGGGTCGATCTGTCAGCTGTTTGTGTATCTTTGGTCCTCCGCTGTCTTCCTCTGTAGCCGCAGATCTCAATGGGATCACCGCAACTACGGAGTACGGACCGAATTACACATTGTGAATTGCTCCATCACGTGGAAAAAAAAGAAGGATTAAAAAAAAATGGAACCTAATTAACTTCTATTTCTTATTCTTCCTGTGTTAGGTTTATTTTTTTCTCCATTACTCTTATCTGTACCTGTCAGCTTTATTCTGACAATCAGCAAACAAGCTGACTATTTCAGGTATTACTGAAATATCAGGCATGGAGAAGGGACAGTACCCTTGAGGCACTTCTTCCCTGGTTTCATTGAATTACTTTAGTTGCATAAACGATATCTCTCCTCCAACGCCTTTTTAAAATTTTAATATCAGTTAATTTAAATATTTTTTAATAATGTGTGGAGTACAATAAATTCACAAAAAGTGCAGAATATTGGTATACGGTAGCATGAAAAAAAAAAAAAAAAAAATTCCTAGTTAAGTATTCGTGAATGTCTCACTTTTGCATTCACATATAAAAACACTGGAAACAAAACTAAAAGACACCTTTTTTTCGTAATGTAGATAATAAAGGGAATCTAAATAGATGAATGTACTAAATTACACGACCAATAACATTGTTCGCCACAATTTATTTTTTTTAATTTTACAACGTTTTAGCTATCTCATAAAATACTTTTAGTTCTTCTACAAACTTTCAACGGTTTTCTTAAGACTCTAGAATTAATTCGAGTCTAGTATCGATGAAATTGCATTGCTATATTTTCTACCTTTAACGCTACCTAAAAAATCTGGTATGTCCACTCGCACGACTTTCTTACCGGTTTTAGACAAATTTATACAACTTTAAACTTGTCCATTAAAAACAAATAAACAGACAATAAAATTAGATTACTTTACCTGATAACCGATCAGAGAAATAACGTGGGTATGATTTATTTTATAAAATGAAGCAATGTTAAGAGGCGAGTAAGCAACCATTAAAATCAGCCAAACAAAATGAATACACTGTAACTTCACTAAAACATCCGAACTGGTCCTTTCTTTAACATCGGAAATTTGACCCGGTAAAACGTAGAATAAGCTGTATCATTGCTTATTCTTATTCAATTTCTATGAATTTATTTTTGTTTTGTAGTGAGTTTAATTAATTACTTTTAGAAGATAAAGTTCACTATAGAATGTATACTAGAATATACCATACATAGAATGTATTGTGTGTTAGACCTGAAAAAAAAATTTCTTTATAACTTTTTCCCTTAATTTTCTCGGGAATTCAGTACATGTACAAAAATAAAATAAAATAAAAATTTACGTGGCCGAAAAGTTTAATAATAGGAATAAATAAACAGTCATATTTTGATAGTTTTTTCGAGTTTTCATTCACACAAGAAAAGGCTATACATAAAAAAAAAATAAAAAAATAACATTAACTATATTATATTTCAATAGTTTATGTGTTCTCAAATAATAGGTACTTTTGATCTTTAATAATTATTTTCTGGTAGAATATTCCCAAACGCCTGTTTTTTTTTCCACTGTTAATAGATAATAAATAAGGAAATAATAAAGTCTGAGAACGTCACTAAAATATTGTTCTCCTGAACTTTTGCTAGAATGAGGCCAATTCTTTTTATGAAGGGAAATATCCACAAGACAAATATAAATTACATTTATCTGTGAAATACTAAATAGAAAGAATACAATACTGTACCTGACAATTATATAAAAAAAGTAAATTTATTCTGACATTGTTTTTGACAACCTAATTAATACCTATGTAGTTCATAAAAGATTATTTTTATTATACTTTGCTACGTTGGTTGATAGGTATGATCTCTCTCCTCGTTCAGTGATCACAAGCTTATATAAGTTTGACATCTCCATCTTTTCTTCTCTTCTAGTGTTCTAGTGTTCGTGGCCATTACTGTCCATCCCCTATCGGCTGGTTCGGTGCCGGATGCTCCGCCTCCCGCTGATTGTGCCCCGTCGGAGTTTCCCGAAGCGGACTGAATGAGGTCGGAAAAGAGAGCATTTCCCGAGGCAGTGAATGGGACAGCGAGGTGACAAGGACCGTTAGCGCTCCGTTACATCCAGCAGCTACCCTCAAGGTCTTCGTCATCGGCTGCATCATGTCAGCTGTACGGATAGTGTCCTTGTCTTATTGAATCTATCATGTAGTATCATTTACAATAAGGGTTACCTCTAGCTTGAAACAGCTAAGCCTTTCTCAGTCCAATGGAATCACAACATGTTAAGGAATTCATCTTACATATGACATTTCAATCATTCTTGAACTTTTATGTTAGCAAGGAAATGATTTCTGATCTGGGACAGATCGAGCAATAAGCGAACTTTGCTGATTTCGTAGAACCCTGCCTGGGCCGAAAATTTATAATCTATGAACACATGCTAGGATTCAAGAGTTTTTGTTTCAAACTGTGGGATGTAGGATTTCGATCGATTTTTTTTTTTTATTTGTGATTATATGTCGAAAAATATTAAATCCATCTCCGTGGGTACTTGCAGATTCACCATAGGAGCCGAGAAACAAAAAATATTCTATAAATCTTAAACAGTTTTGAAAAAAAATTGTCTGCATTAATTCTGAATGAACCTCTAGGTTATGATATATCGATCCATTTTTTTTTTTTTTGTGAATATAAAAAAAAACATATTTCTGATTCTATCAAAGCAAATCAAACGTATACGGAAATTAAATTAAAATTAACTACGGAGACCAATTAACACCTCCAGTAAAGTAACCAAGTAAATATTTTTCATGAAAAAGCAAATAGATTACTTTCTAGCTTCCTGTAAGACTCTTAAATACGAATTTGTTCTTAAATAAAAAAATATAAATTGTGTGACTCTTTTTTCTAAGTGCTCATAATTCAGGATGGGTAATTGTGAGCGACGCGGCCTCTATGGACTCGTATCTGCAGTTATCCTTTTACTTAAAGTGTTGTTGTTGTAATTTATATTTCTTATTATTAAATTATAACCTGAACACTGATAATTGTTATAAGGCACTGATAATCCCTTTCTTCATATGAAATTGGACTCTAAATAAGAAATGTAAATATATTTGGTGTTGCCTCTTTTTTTATCTGTTTCCTATTAATATATATATATATATATATATATATATATATATATATATATAATATATATATATATATATATATATATATATATATATATATATATATATATATATATTAATAAGAAATATAAATAAGAAATATAAATATAATAATTTAATAATAAGAAATATAAATAGCAACAACCTTTTAAATTACAAGATAACTGCAGACAGCAGTCCATTGAGGCCGCATCGCTCAAAAGTACCTCAGGGATGTTTTCCTAATTCAACGTCACTACATCTGTTGAAATTCTGGATAATTGCTCTTCTCTTGTCGATAACTTTTATATTTTAGGCCATTTTATGGAATAAATAAACAAACACTCCTCAAAATCTTTCAAAAGTTTTATTTTATAATATCGATATTAATTTGTTCACAGAGGTCTGGTTTGTATTACTTTTAGGTCCCTGCTAATTTTCGAGTGGACAGAAAATGTCGAGTCATGTTGAAGTAATCACAACCTGGAACCAAGGCGAAAATTTTGGGCAGAAAGTGTGTAGGCTAAACATTTTTCGATTGGTATGGAGATTTGTATTTGAGCGTTTTTCCAGTTACAAAATACAGATCTGAACTCTGTTTTTCCTTGGTAACTACTCCCAATTCCTACAGCAAAAATATACTAATGTATGGAGTCTCAATAGCAAATAATATATTATAATAATCTTCCTGATTTTGGAAGTAATAAGTAACTACTTAAGAAGATAGCAAAGTTGAAGCATGATTATCATATCATGATCCTAGTCATCATTATCGACTTACTAATTGATACAGATTAGTCATAGATAATGGTTTCTAGATACGTTTCCTATTTAATACAGAACCTTGGTATGTCAAAGGAATGGAAAAATACTATTGCGACTCTCAAAGATAGTGCTTATGTCGTTCTAATAGTGCTTATACCAAACTATGAAATCTATAAAATGGTCTTATAATATATTTCTATACATCACTTCAAATTTTCAAATTTAAAAAAAAATTCAAAATTTTTAAAATACATTAAAATATAAATATTTTATGTTACACAAAAAAATGACATTTTAAATATCAACCGAGATAAATCCTTACCAAGCAAGTTAAAAGATGAGTTTCAAAAACGATTACATATCGATTGAGTACGGAGATGGTTCTGGGTGGCGATCATAAGGATTATAAAATAGAGAGAAAAAAATATCTTATTTCAAGCCAACGTTTCGACCCGACTTTGCAGGTTTTCTTCAGGGGGGTGTATGCAGCAGCATGGGATTTCGGTTAATTTACTCAATAATGTACAACGGTCAACCATAAAATATTCAAGATTAAATTACGAATCAGACAATTTTTTCTCTGGAACCATTTCTGTTATGAAAATCGAAAGAACTCGAACTGGTTTCTTTTCCGGAAAAACTTGGTATTTCATAAATGAATATTACAAAATTGTTTAAAGGAAATGTGTTTGACTAGGGCAGCTAACATTACATACCTCGACAGCAGGCCGATAGTGCCTGGATAATGACGATATTGTCGTCATTGTACAAACATTGTACGTATATCTATATATATATATATAGATTTTAAAAAATAGAGCTTCGATCAGGCCAGGGACACATTTTTTTAAATTTTTTTTTTAAATTCTAGCTTTCAAGAGGATCCCATGGTTGACTAATAGAAGGAAGATACCGGGATCGAAGCTTCAATGAGCAGAAGAAATGAACATTCAATAGTTTATTAAATAATAATTGAATGGCCTTATTCCTAATTAAATAGTTAAGTCTATATATATATATATATATATATATATAGATATACGTACAATGTTTGTACAATGACGACAATAATTATTTCACAACATTGAATGATTCCGTTTTTATCCCTCCTTTAGCACTCAAGCGCTCGAGATATTGATGCGAGCATTATAACAATGTCTCTTGACAGTAAAATAAAATCTCATTTGGTTTGCAAATGCTTCCAGCTGATATTCCTGCTTTGAGTTAGGTATAAACAGGATTTTTAAACTTTAGAGACACAAAGCCTTGTACATTTTTACCTAAAAATGCTTTGTTATTATTCTGCGGGCCAATATTTTAATTATAATTTATACTGATTCTGATTGAATGTCACTGACAAAGAGAAATAATTATAAATATAATTTGTCCCTGAACTACTTCCTTCTTTTACTATGTTGTCTTTGTTTCTTGTTTGAAATGTTCCTTACGAGGTCGTTGTTGGCTTTACCATTTCCTCTTGGTGATATGAGTAATCTTTAAAGTTATGTATCAAGGAGTCAATAACCATAAAAAAAATGTTGGCCAAGTAGGGTCAGTATAGTTTCCTCTTCAATTTCGATTATAGTTACATATATTTTAAGATCTATGATTTGTCTTTTGAAAATAAAATCCACGGAAGAGAAGGCTTTTTGAAATACAATCTTACAAAGCAAAAAACACACTTTTAAGCAAATGAAGTAGAAGAAATTTCACTTATCAGAAAAGTCTAAATTGGATCATTCACTACCAGCCCTCATAATCCCTGAAATTTTTCCAAATCAAATTTACGGCAGTTGGTGATATTCCTCTCAAGTTTCTCTATAGAATGAAAATGTTCAATAAATCTGAAAGGAGATTCAGAAGCACCAATAATCCCAGTTTAGCTAATTATAACATAATCTCCAAATTCGGGCTAATTATAACATGAGATTTTTGAGATACATGCGTATCATTGAAAATACGTTTGCCGTTATGTAAGAAGGAGCAATAAATGAAGTTCTATATACTTCATAAATTATTTTTTAACCAATTCTCTACACTTCACAAAATTTTAGCTAAATCAACAAATCTTTTCTGAAATATAGGCATTTCTAAGAAAGTACATTTACGCGTAAGGGAAGATATTGGATGGGATTCGATGAGATTTATTGAACCATCTTAACAGGGACCTATGAAAATTGAATAAACAATAGTTGATATATCTACCAGATGGGTTAAACTACAAACAGATACGGAAACAGATTTTCTCTTCTAATTTTTCCTCAAGTCTAATACGTAAACGCGAATGGAAATTTTCGATTCTGTGAGCATATTTTTTATCTCCCGCATGAATAAAAAGCTCCTCTAATTTCGATAGTGAGGAAGCAATAAATAATTTATTGTGATGAAGTAAAGTTAAAGAAAGAAATATATTTATTTATTTACGCAATTGGGTTGCCTTAAAAATTATAATATACCTTTACTACAAAATGAATATCCCTCATAAAACAGAGCACTTCGTGTCGTCTTGATACTCTCGCTGAAGATTCTGACTACGTCAACGTTTAGGATAGCATTGCTTAAATTGTAAATTTTCAAATATTTTCTGATAAGGACACACGTATGACATGAAACATTTACCAAATTGTTCATCAATTGACCGAACAATGTGGCAGCTACTAGACGAATGTTTCTCATATTTGTAGCCGTTTCATTAGTCGTATTACAATTGGAAATAATTAAACCGGAGGTTAATTAATTTTCATTAAATATTAGAGTGATATGTTATCTACGTCACCATAATCTCTACTGTTAGCTACTTTCTCGTATTCATAATTGTCACTTTTATTTATGTATATCACAAATAAATATTGTGATCATACATTTGACTTGAATCTGATTGAACTGTTGACAGCGCTGTAAAGAAAAAAAATCAGAATACCATGACCCAGATTAATATAAGCTATATAAACACAATTATATTGTTGGTTGTAAAACATCACATTTTATTTTATTTTTTTTATTACTATTGTAATATTTTACTGTTTTAAAATATGAAATCATTTATTATTATTTCAAAATATAGCTCTTGGTATAATTTCCATTACTTTTAAACAAATAAAATATAACTAACAGGTGAAATTTATATTTATTTTGTTGAAATGCTATCGCGTGATTTTCTTTTAGAAGCTTTTTGTCATGAAGTAAAAATTCAGCCATAAACCCGTTTTCGAAACCGCGGTTGAAGCTTCTAATGCAACGCT